TTTATAGTTTATATGTTATATATTATTACAATATTTATTGTAAATTGTCATAAACATTTTCAATGTTTCTTGTACATTGTTTCTTTTTAGGTAAAACAGTTATCATTAATTGGCGGTAAAAATCTAGCTGATACAATTAAAAATCTTTTGCTCTTGTAGGTAATTAGCAAAAGTTTGAATTTTAACATTTATGATTGACAGTACAGCATTTATCTTCTTTTTTATATATGTAGACTGCCAAGAGACACTATTTTGTCAGAATACAGCATGAACTGTCTAAAGAAGAAAAAAAAGTTTAAAGAGTTGACAAGTCTATGTAACGCTGTCACTGGTATTCTTATAAGCTTAATAATGTGTTTGAATTAATAAAAAATTAAAAATAATGTTTTAATTTAAAAAAAAAAATTTTTTTTAATTTTTTGGGTATAGAACATAACATGTATTCAAGTGTATGTATACATGACATGCATATTTTATTTTATGATCTTGTTGAAACATGTTTTTTTGTTTTTATTAGAAGCTGCTTTAAAGTCAAACAACAACTTAACCAAAATGGATGCCATCCAACTTATTAGGAGAGTAATTAGGCATTCTTCTGACCGAATAAAGAGAACATCGACTAATATGGATTTTGATCAATAATAGCTCAATTAACTGTTGTATTTATTTTAATTTTTTTTCCATTTTTAAGCAATTTCCTTCTATTTATAATGCACTATCGATTATATTCTACAGTACCTATTATTTTTTTATTTGAAAAATTTAACTTTGTTTGAAAAATTATTCTTATTTTTTGTAAAGTTATTAATTTATTTTAAATGTATCAAATTAAACTTAATTTACATTGATTTCATTTTTTAACTTCCCTTTCCTAGATTAAGGCAAATCTAAGGTGTGTGTTGTAAATTATTGCATTTTTATATGATTTTTAAAAGAATGTCTTGGTAAAATTTAAACGTCTCTAGGACGTCTTAACGACGTCTGGAATAGACGTCCTCAAGCCTTTCATTTAAGGATGTCTTACGGACGAGACTTAAGACGTCTTACGGACGTCTTTAGAACGTCGAAATGCTCGCTGGGTCATAATTTTAATGCATTATGTAAGATAGAATATGGAGATACTAAATAATATAAAAATATTGTATAGCTGTCTAAAAAGCGTAACTTTTTTGAATAATTTTGCGCTTTGTTTTACTTTTTCAATTCTGTTTTTAACGAAACAAAAATCTTTAAAAAAAAATTTACTTTAAGTTCCACTGTTACAGTTTTATCTATGGGATCGTCCATAAATTACGTAATGGTAATGTTATTTAAACAACAAAAGAGCGAGATTTTAAGCACTTTTAGGCGGCGTTTTAAACCTATTGGGTTATGTTGATTTTTCATTCAACTTATTTGTTTATAAGGGATCGTCCATAAATTACGTCACGCGATTTTTGACCATTTTTAACGCCCTCAATCCATCGTCACAACATCGTACACAGTAGTAACAAGTCTTGCATGAGTCGTCACAAAATCACTAACCCCATAGAGTGTGATGTTATATATGGACGACCGCGCTTTATGAAATTTTGCGTAGCATTTATGGACAATCACTATTTAGTTTTTATCTATATTTAACTGTACAGTTTACGTATTTAAAACAATACAAATATTGCAATAAAATTTAGTTACATTAAAGTGCATAAAGTTATTAAAACATGTATAGCTCTTATATTAAAATAAAATAAAAAAAAACAAAAAACGCATTTTTATTGATAAAGTATTATATTACGTATTATAGATTGTCATATGTTGCAAATTAAATAATTATATTGCTATATACTATAATTTATGTTAATGATATATCCGATATAATAATGATAATATAATGATATAATAATATGTTAATAAATAACTTACTCTACTTCTCAGTCTGAGATTTTATTGAATAAATATATTTGAAAATATTACGTTTGTTTTTTATTATATATAGTTTTTTGACACTCAATATTCTCAAAAAAAGAAAAATTAAAATAAACAAAGCGTGTAATTGCAAAAACAAACCAAGCAAATCGTAAACATAGATGGTTAAATCAGCGTTAACTTTGTTTATTTTAATGTTAAATGACAAAAATAATTCTGAGTTCAGATTTAGTAAAAAGTTTTTTCTAATACGTGTTTTAAATAAAACAGTTAATACATGTATGTACATAATATAAGTAAATTGTATGGTATAAGTAAACATGTAAGGTATAGGTAAGATCGGGGCTATTTATCTATATTTTAAGTCATTGAGTTCTGTTCCTCTAACAGAGCATTTTTTTAAATATTAAAGAGTAGTCTTTAAGAGTATGAAGTTAAGTAACATTTTAAGGTGGCATTCGTGATTTTAAAAAAATGTTCTTTGGGGCCTTAAAAAAAAGTTCGTTAACTTTCCCTACCCCTGGTTGTAAGAAGGTGCAAACCATAAAAGTTGTTAAAAATTTACTTTAATTGCAAAAGTTATATAGATTTTTACCATTTACTTTATTAACAATTTCAAGCCAAAAATTAGATATTACTTTAAGTTAGTACCAAACAATAGTATTAAAAAGACAATAACCGTTTAGATAAAAAATAATTCTATATATGTGAAAATCAATTTTAACATATCAAAAAATAATATAAACAAATATATAAAAAAATAAATATAAAAAAATAACTTTTTTTTTTACAGGCTAAAAAAAGATGGAAATAACTGTGAAAATATTCTTTTTTAATTAAGTTTCTATCGCGCAGTTTTTAGTAATAAACCCGCGTGACAACCAACCCCCCTCTCCTCTAATGCAAAAGTATGTGCTGTTTTTGTTGTGCAATAAGGTTTTGTATGGATAGCGATTAATTTAAAATATTTATCTGTGATTAAATCAGTCTACTCATACTTTTGAGTATCATAATGGACAAAACGCCTATGCATGGGTTGTCGTGATTTTAAAAAACGAGCCATATTCCACAAACAAACATCTTCTCATCTAACAATTATAATCTTGTTTAATATGCTCATGACCATTCGCTAATCTTTTATAAATATGCTCAATATATTTCAAATTTTTACCAAATAAATTTCCAAAAATACAATCATTGAATGCCTTAAGAAAGAATGAAATAAACCATGATTTTCAAGAATTATTTTGAAACTATTTGAAAATATAAAAATATTTTAAAAATTGAATTGTTTGGCAATTTAAGCAACTCCCGCAGTGACGGATCCAGGATTTTTTGGTCTTTATAATAACTAACTTCCAGACATGAAGCAAACTTCAAACATTTATATGTTTATACTTATCAAATAATAAAGTTTAGCAAAATATTGCGATGATTTAAGGCTGGGAAAGAAAAAGTCCTTCGATTTTATTATCCCACCTCCCTAACTTATACGTGAGGAGCAACGTTCAAAAACTTTTTTATCAATTTGTTGGCCTTCACGTTTAGGGTGCGAGGGAAGTGATGATGAAGTCAAAGGGCTTTTTTGTTCCCAGTCTCCAATCATTGCAGTTTTTTAGCAAAGCCTCGTTATTGGACATAAGTATAAGCATACAAATGTTTCGAGTTTGCTCCATGTTTGGAAGTTAGCTATCTCAAACACCAAAAAATCCTGGATCCATTACTGCAAGAACTGCCTTAAAAATTGCTAAAAAATTCAATTTTTTCCATGTTTCTATATTTTCAGGGCCAATTTTAACATTTTTAGACTTGAATCAACTTAACAACAAACTTATCTTATGAGCTTTACAGTAAACGTATCAACAGAAATTGATAAGTGGAAAAGAGGTAATGGGAAAAAAATTTGTTCAATTTTTACTGGTTTCACAGTGGGATATGATTTGAGAAATATAGTTGTTTGTGAATAAAGAAAGACATGATTGATGAAAAAAAATGCAGCTAGGATTGCTCTTTGTTTCTTTTTATTTAATGCTAATGCAAATTTTCATTTCTTAGTTTATATGTTATATAAGAATAGTAAAGTTTACCCGGATTATATTCCTTATTAATATCAATGTTCCTACATTTTAACTTAATAAAATTTGTAAAAAATGGTTCTAATCATAGTCTTCAAGGTGATGCAGCCCAAAATCTTTTGAAAGTGTAGAGTATATTTTGGTAGCGATTTTCTTGTCTGGTTTGACATTAAAGTTAAGCATAGTCGAATAGAAGAACTAAAAAATGTTTTTAATTAGCTTAAGTTGTTATTGTAACGGTTTTTGTTATTGTAACGGTTTTTGTTATTGAAACGGTTTTTGTTATTGTAACGGTTTTTGTTATTGTAACGGTTTTTGTTATTGTAACGGTTTTTGTTATTGTAACGGTTTTTGTTATTGTAACGGTTTTTGTTATTGTAACGGTTTTTGTTATTGTAACGGTTTTTGTTATTGTAACGGTTTTTTTAGAAATACAATTTTAAAGATTTAAAACAAATATTTAAATTTTTTTAGTTCCAATTACCCCCTCCTCTTCCCTGGGTATTTGGTAAAACAATGTCTCTAATTTTATAGAAGTTAAACCCCTTTTCTTTTGTTTAATTACTGGTTCTAAAGTTTTAAAGTTAAATCACTCTTTTTTTAGTTATACAAAGCAGAATTTAATTTTTAACACATCCTATTGTGCATATGCATACGTTTATAATTTTAAACCACGTATTAGATATCTAGAATAAAACAGGACGGTTGGTGGATCAAAGCCAGCTCCGGCCATGTAGTGCAAATAACAAGGTTAAATGCGATCCCGCGGCGCTCCGCAATGAGACTGTGAGGAATTCTTAGAGCACTTGATTAACTAAAAAGAAGAAAAAGAAATTATACAAATTGAAGCTTTTACCAAAATCTACAAATCTGAACTCAAAATTATTTTTATCATTAAGCATTGATATAAACAATGTTTACGTTTATTTTACTAAAAGTTTACGGTACCATTTGATTTGTTTACGATTTGCTTGATTTGTTTTTTACCATTACACTGTTTTTTGTGTTTTTTTTTTTGATAATACTTTGTGTCTAAAAACTATTTATAATAAAAATAAACTTTATAATTTTGTATATATATTTATTCAACAAAATCTCAAATCTCAGGATAAAAACAACAGTAAGCCAGTTATTAACATTATATAGTAATAACTTATAATATATAGTAATATTATTATCTAATTTGCAAAAGTTATAGCTACCTATAACAAGTAACACATTATTTCATTAATAAAAAAATTTATTACTTTTTCATCTTATTACAATTAACTATACACTATAACTATATGTATTATAATGTAATATAATATAATAATCAAATTTTATTACAATATCTTAATGTTATAAGGTTTAGATATGTAAACCGTAAAATAAAATATAGATTTGAAATGTAGAACTAAATATATAAATCAGTACAATACATTCAAACAGGGCTGCTAAGAGCTGTCGCGCCGCCTGGGACAGCAATCCTGATTGGCGCCCTTATTTATTAAATTTTCCCTTTATTTAATATCTGCCACCTAAGACAAATTGTCCCTGCCCTCCCCCCCACTCTCATTCAAACCTTTATATGTAGAGTTTATATATATATATATACATATATATATATATATATATATATATATATATATATATATATATATATATATATATATATATATATATATATATATATATATATATATATATATACATATATATATATATATATATATATATATATATATATATATATATATATATATATATATATATATATATATATATATATATATATATACTATAACTTTATAACTATAGCAACGTTTGTAGAAGCTGATTCAGCATTTTTAATAAATGATAAACATACTTGAGTTTTTAACACAACTTTTTTCTACCATAATTAAAATTACCATTTTGAACAACGTAATAAATAGCGATTCGGTGGAAAAAATCAAGAACCATTAACTAATGTAAAAAAAAAAAAAGACAAAGCTTTGTTTATTAAATTGTTAAATATCATTTTGTGCAAAAGAAAAAACTCAACTTTTTTTTCACTTCCGAATTTCTCCCAACGTTTTGTAAAAAGTTTTAACCGTTGCAACGGTTAAAAATAATTTATTTTAACTTAAGATATTCTACTATAAATCATAAGTTTAATATATTTAGTATTTAAAAAAGTATAGAAGTTTAAGTTTGTTTAACTTAATGATTTTTGTTTTAATAAATAATGTTTTGAACGTGTAAAAATTAGCGCAAAATTATTTAAACAGATCGCGTGTTAAAGACTGTAAAAACATTTTTCAGCGTTTGCGTAATTATTTTTTCTAATTATAGGTAATTAATTAATAAATTTGTATTAAGGTTGATAAGAAATGTTCTTGATTTATATAAGTGTCCGTAACTTTAGGAAACTATATTTACTTAAATGTTTTTTAAGTGAAATTGATTCAAATTGTAAAATATAGACTTTTTTTTTCTTTTTTAAAGAGTAAAAATATTGTTTTTAAATAGTTAAATTTACCACTTGTTGTACGCCTAATAAATGACTTTTATAATAAAAATATCCAGATAAAATTCTAATGTTAAAAAGCTTTTTTAGCGCCAAGTAAAGTTAAAAAATTTTAAGAATAGTTTGAATTTTATAGCTATTTTTATTGCGTTTCTCTACCGGAAAACTTTTCTTTTTAGTTTACAAATATGGTTTTGCAGGTTTTAAATAATTTAAAAAAATTTTTTACTTACCAAAGCACATTGTTTGCAAAAAACATAAGGAAAAATCATGAAATTAATATATTTATAGCACATCGCGCAGTACGTTTTCAAAAATGTTAACTACATTAAACAATATCCACTATAAAGATTATGCTTTACACAAACCTTCACAAAAAAAAATATTTCTAGTAATATATTTAAATAACATTTTAAATAAAATCTTTTATAACTTTTTGTTAAAATTGATCCTTTACTGAAAAAAATTGATCCTTTACTATCTCGGTGACATCTGGAAAAACACATAACTCTGTTTTTTTTTGTCGGAAAAAATAATGAAGTTATCTTATTCTCTGAAAATAGAGAATAAAGGTCACGAATAAGAGAGCCTATTTGTTTTAAGGGCTTGGAAGCTATAGGCGCAAGCCCTTAGAACAAATAACTACATAATTTTTACTATTAAAAGTTTCATGCGTCAGGGTTAGCAATCATCAGGTTTTTTAAACCTTGATTATACTTCAAGGTTTAAAAAAACGTACGCCTCACCGCTGCATTTTTTTAAATCTTGTTTATAATAAACATCGACATAAACAATTATAAAACTGTTACTTTTTGCGAGCGCGGTTTGGTTTTTTAATCTTTGGGCTTGTGGTTGTCAAGCAAGAATTTGTTTTTGTGACGGTAATTAGATATTATTTCTGTTTTTTTATTTAACAATTCTTGCGTACTTTTGTATGATATTATGCAAAGTTTTTCATGAAGGCAAAGAAAGCATTTTTTTGTTACGTTCTGTAGGCAGGGTCTTGTTTAATTATTGACCAGATTAATTTAGGTGTTATTTTAACTTTTCTTTTATCTGCCATATATACTTTAAAAGGGTGGTTGAATTTTTCATTTTTTTGTTTGTGAATGAGTGTTTGTGGTTAGCCCATTTTTTCTTCCATTCACGTTTTGCTAGGCCAATATATACTTTTTCTGGAGTGTTAGGGGGGGGGGGGGGAATACTATACATTTATAAATAACATTAGAGGCTCTACATTTTACTTTTATAGGGGAGTTTCCTTTTTTTATGCAATTGCAGGGTGGGTATTCTTTTGGTCTTTTTGAACTGATTTTCTTGTTGTGGCTTTTTATTATTCTTTCAATATTTTTGGTGCAGCTGTAACTCACTGTGATGGTGTTTCGATTGAGTAGTTTACTTAGGGGTGGTATGTTGGAAAATGTTTGTCGATTAAGTTTAGGAAGATATGTCCAACATTGGTAGAAACGCTTTTACTATTCGGGGGGTTAAACCATATTATATTTCTTTTTCTTTTCTTTTTTTCTCGCTTTTGGGTTTTATACTTTAAATTAAAACCAGTATATATATATATATATATATATATATATATATATATATATATATATATATATATATATATATATATATATATATATATATATATATATATATATATATATATATTTGTATAAAAGTTGTAACAAAGAACAAAAGCAAAACATAAAAAATAAAATTACACAAATAATAATATTAAAACATCGTGCGGCCGTGGCAGAGTGGTTATAGCGTTTGCTAAGTAAGCAGTAAATCAAATTTAGAAACGAGCCTTGGACATTTTTTCGCGTCACGGTAAGGAAAAAGGCGTGAACTTTCTGGTTAAAACAAAATTAAAAATACAAATTAAATAAAACTACATTGCATATTTTCCAGGCCAACATCGTCTGTGTTATAATGCCTAAATGGGGTTTGCGACCCTCTTAAGCAGAGTAGTGAGGCTCTAGTAATCTCCATGGAAAGACGTCTCCTTTGCCAATTTATAACAGATCCTTACCACTCACCCATTTTTAAGGACAGTTTCTGTGCGAGTAGTGCCGTGAAGCGTATGCATTCGTCTCCAAACCCACCATTCGTACCAAAAATCAATGGGGTAAATGTCCTGTGTTCAACCTCTGGAACTCGTTCTAAATGCTCACGTTTTTCGCATCTTCATGCCTACGGAATATGTGTTTTGTTGGTTGTTTTTTGGAGGATTTGGAGTTTAAGTGCGTTACTCTAACTTCAAAAAATGTAGTTTCTCCTTCTATCCAAAACCCTTTTGCTTTTGTATCCAATCTAGCTTCGTCGTTGGTATTGGCAGTTTTGAGAATAAATTTTTAATTTGTCAATGGAATTAAATGCGGCTCCGCTTAAACATCAGTACAAACTTTATTTACAAACAAAGCCACCTTTTTTGCATGACATTGCGCGTAGCTCGTCAAATTTTTCTCTACAAGCACAGTAGGATAGTAAGTTGGCAAGTGGCACATTATATCTCAATCTAAGTGCGTCCTTAAACTCTTCCTTATTCAGATCTAGATGTTGTTCTTTAATTGGTAAAGTGTTTAACCAGCTGCTGACACCTTTATCACAGGCCTGTTCAACCAGAAGTTTAAGATTTTCTGGAAGCCCTTCATGTATTTTTTTAACCTCTTCTTTTATTTTTTGAATATATCCATATTTGTTTTTGTTTTTATTTGTGAAAATGTTTTCCCGAAATCATTTTTTTCTTTCATAACATTTGACTGGTCGAGTATTGATATGTGCAAGTTAGTTATTTTCTTATAAGCAGTATGTTGTTCCTTGGCCTCAGTTATTAAGTTACAAATTCCAAGTCCTCCTTCCAATGGATTCAGCGCCAATAAATCCCGATTCTCATTGATTATAGAAAAATCAGTACCAAACAATACAGGTAATAATTTTTCTGATAAAATTTTTTCCACTGGTGTTACGAAATTTTTAAAAGCTTTAATTGTGCGTTAGAAGTAAGTGAATTTAGATCTATACCCTTTAATAAAAGCTGAATAAGCAGCTTGTCATTGCGTGGTGGCAATTTCGCAGAGATTGTTAAGCTCCTTAGACAATTTACTCACTAAATCCTCGCAATACACTTTTTTTGTATGCTTCCGAACCAAGTGCAGCTCCTAAGTGCCTTTTTCCCTGAGTAGTTATATTTATAGAGTTGCCAAATATAAGTTTAGCTTCTTCAGCTTGGTTATCAGATTTTACTATTAGCCAGCATTTTGACTGATTTACATAATAACCATACAAACCACCGACATCCTCTACGCATTTATACCACTTTTTTAAAGACTGTTGTTTTCCTGCAGCGGTAGCTTTTTTTGTTTAAGGAATTAGTCGACAAGCAATGTAAGGTTGAACTATATCCGGTTGGTAGAACTTTGTTACAATATTTTTTGTAAATGTTGCTATTTCTTCTCGTAGAGTCTTATAAGAGGGTCCAAAACACTTAGAGCATAGGACTCGACGGTAAACATCTGCATCCATTCCAGAAGGACCTGCAGATCCTTTAGTCTGTAAAGCTGGTTAAATATACATATCTCATCAATTGTATCGAACAGACATTTTGGAGTGTTTTGTAACGGACCGTA